AGCCAAGAATGGTACCTATTTTCAATAAATGAGAATTTGGTTTGATCGTTTTCAATGTCTGGTGCTATTTTTTAGGTCACAGGGATGTCGTTGAAATGCTCATCACGAAAGGAGCCAAGGTTGATTCTATAGACGAAGAAAAGCGGACACCTCTTCATTATGCTGCTATGAATGGTAATGTTACATATTTGACTAATTAATACATAATAATGTAACATATTTTATTAATCGATTTTAATTCTTAGGTCACTTGGATGTCATTGAAATGCTTATCACGAAAGGAGCGAAAGTTGATTCAATGGACGTTCATAAGCGGACACCCCTTTATTATGCTGCTAATAATGGTAATTTTGAATATTTTCACTTAACCAATTTCTTAGGTTTAATCTTTCTCATTGGTCGATATTATTCTCCAGGCAACTTACAGATCGTTCAAATCCTTGTCGCCAATGGAGCCAGTCTTACTATTACAGATTATCGAAATCAGACACCTTATCAGATTGCTTTATATAATAGTAATGTTGAACATTTTTGTTTAGAAAAGAATGTGATTCAAACTATATTATTTTTCAGATGAAAAGGAGGTCGCTGACTATCTTAAGGAGGTTGCAGAAAAAAGACGCCATGGACACAAGTGAAATCAATCGAAAAATCAGATGTTTTCCTTTGAGTTCCGTTGTCATGTAGAACATTAATTTCAATAAATTTTTGCCAAACTAACCATGCCGATATTGTTGCTTTGTTGTACTATTGATTTTAAAATGGTCTCACAAGTAAACCGTCCCAACTGTCACAAATGGATTTTAACACTATGATTGTTCTTGGGGCACCCAGGGCCCCCAGCGAACTTTAAAGTTGAATAAAAGTACTAAACAGTGTATAAACCAACCGGAGTTAAGTCTCATTGTATAGATTGAACATTTCTCTACACGAATGAAAAAAAAAAACATATGCATATGTGTGAGTATGTGTAAAATACAGCCTGCCGCAAAACTTATTACGCTGTTGTTCTTGGGGGACCACAGGGCCCCATGGCTATTTTATATTATAACTGGACTATGATAAGAGATAACGACTTGATGTCTGCGGTGAAGTTGTAGTACTCAAGCTGCTCTACAACTTTGCCGAAGACACCAAGTCGTTATCTCTTATCAGTTTCGCGGAATACGCGAGAAACCGCAGAAAACCGCGAAAAAACGCGTTTTTTTCCTTATCATTTTTCACGGAACTGATAAGAGATAACGAGATGGTGTCAAAGGCAAAGCTGTAGTTCTGGTCGGGGACTACAATTATTCTGATTCATTATTCCGTTATCTCTTATCAGTTACGCGAGAAACCGCAAAAAAACGCGTTTTTTTCCTTATCGTTTTTTCACGGAACTGATAAGAGTTAACGAAATAATGAATCGGAACAATTGTAGTACTCAACCAGAAATACAACTTTGCCTTAGACGCCATCTCGTTATCTCTTATCAGTTCCGTGAAAAATGATAAGGAAAAAAACGCGTTTTTTCGCGATTTTCTGCGGTTTCTCGCGTATTCCATGAAACTGATAAAAGATAACGACTTGGTAACTTCGGCAAAGTTGTAGAGCAGCTTGAGTACTACAACTTCACCACAGACATCAAGTCGTTATCTCTTATCAGTTACGCGAAAAAACGCGAAAAATTCGAGTTTTTGATAATCATTTTTCGCGAAACTGATAAGAGATAACGATTTCATGTCTATGGTGAACTTGTAGTACTCAAGCTGCTCTACATTTCTGTCGAAGAGGCAAGTCTCTTACTTCTCATCATCTTCACTAAAACGATGTGGGAAAATTTTGCGATTTCCGCGTTTTTCGCGGAACTGATAAGAGATAAGCAATATTTGTTACACCAAAATTATAGCAAACTTTGAGTATTACAACTTTGCTGCAGACACTAATTTGTTATCTCTTATCACAGTCCAGATTTCATATGAAGTATCTTGGGGGCCCTGGAGTCCCCCAAGAACAGTAATATGTTGCAAATATGAAGAACAGTCATAGTGTTAAAATTGCATATACAGATCGATTGGGGATGGAAAAAAAAAATTTTGACAAAAGGGCAGAGGCCGTTTTTGGGGCATAGTGGGGATAGACCCCCCTTTCTTAAACTTCGTCTGATCAAAAAATGATGTATGTCAAAGTTGTTCAGAATGATGAGGAGAATTTTGAAAAAAAACTAATTTTTTCTGTATATCGGGTCAAAAAATCCCTTCACCCCCGAACAAATTACATTTTTGGATTCCTCGTGAAAAATCACTTTTAGGTTTAGAACATTTCCTATCAAAAAAATCATCCCTTATGCTCTAAACCAAGGCCGGAATACATTAGAAGGTTTGGGGTGCGATTTGTTTAACATTCCGGCCTTAAATTAGGACATAAGGGATGATTTTTTTGATGGGAAATGTTCTGAACCAAGGGATAATTTTTCACGAGGAATCCAAAAATATAATTTGTTTGGAGGGTTAAGGGGGATTTGACCCTATTTTGGGGATGCATTGGTCATTTTTCGCTATTTTTTCAGTTTTTGACCCTCCATTTCATTTCAGGGGTGGAGGGCAACTCCACCCAAGGTGTCATTTGATTCTCTGGAGTATATTGAACATTTCATATCGACATATTTTTGTCCTCAAACCATTTCTAGTATGAGAAAATTGCATTTTTATGTAAAAACCATCAGACGAAGCATTGTAAAGAAGGGGCCATATTCCCACTATGACCCAAAAGGGGCCGCTGCCCTTTTGTCAAAATTATTTTTTTTTTCATTCTTCATCGATCTGTATATTCAACTTTAAAATCGACGTGTGACAGTTGGGACGGTTTACTTGTCAGCGTCATAATTGACTTACCAAATCGGGAAGTGAATCCTGTGGAGTAGGTGGATCCGACCTAGTCCAATGTGTTCTGGAAGTAAAATCCTCCAGTATGAGTCTAGAGTTTATTGTCTATGGGAATTCTGATTGCTAAATCGCATTATTTTTGCCGAATTACGCTGAATATGCGATACTGAATCAGAGCTGTAAAGTTAATTATGAGGTGTAAAGTTAATAAATCATATGTGAATGCTGAGCAAAATGAAGCTTTCCAGCCACATCATAAATTCAAAAGAAAAAACCAACAGCGTCTAACACTACTAGTTATCAAAAAACCGTCAAGAGGGCGCCAACAGTTGCCCATTGGAATGTCCATAAGAAAGCGCGCTCTCTACGGCAAATTTCGCCATTTTTCAACAAAAAGTGTGCAGTGCTATACGCTGTTGGAAAAAACCTTTGACTGTTGCATAAACAGTATTCATAGACATAGGTATCTTTCCGTGTATATACATTGGATCAATTCGAAAATAAACTATTCTTAGAAAAAAAAATCCATTGAAGCTTGTTTCCAATAATTCCAGGCGTATATTGAGCCCATTTATCTATACATCTGCACCTGTGTATTCCAAACATCGAAAAATAAGCAAATAGACATAAAGCGAGAAGAATTTTTTTGAATATTTGGTTTTCGAATTCAATCGTAAGGAATTTGGTTTTGAATTTTGTTTTTCTGCACGTGCAATAATGATGACAAGTTTACATAATCTAATTTTTGACTATAAATCGGGCAGCAACATCGTGAGCAATTAGTTACTGTTCAAGTGATTCGACTATAAACATGTCTAAGCAATTGATGGGTGAGTCTCTTCTTAATTCTTTTTTTCCATCATTTTTGTCTAATTTTCATTTTTGGCAATACTTAAGATTTCAGTCACTCATTGTGTTTTAATCGATATTTTCTCTCCGTTTAGTTTGTTTGATTCTGGTTGCGGTTTTGGGAGACCAATTCATGGTAACTTACAACTTTTTCTGTATATTTTTTTTTCATCGGGTCGATCGATGACATGAAGAGCTTTTTTTTCATTTTCCATTCAAATTGACTTTTCGAAAACGAAGAAAGTAATCGAAACAAAATTATACCTTATGAAGAGGACATTTCATTCGACTTCAAAATATGCTTAAAAACGCATATATGTTCGTTTTTAGTTTACATTTTTCACGTAACTGATACGAGATCTTCAGTGTACAACACGGTTCTTTACCCGACATTTTATGTCTAAAAATGATTTTTTTTTTTTTCAAAAATCCATTAATTTTACATGTCAATTCATTCAATTTGGTTATTCCAAACTAATTATCCTTTATTCGTTTCTAATTTTCAATTTGAAGCAAACTGAGGGTGGGCCTGGGAACGGTTGTGGGCATGGCTGTGGGTATGGTTGTGGACTGCTTACCAAAGTAAAGGGAACAGTACGACAAGGTAAGATTGAAGCTCCATTTCTTTTTTTAAGTTTCATTCTCACTATTCCACATATGAGTAGTTTGAAGCGAAAATGTAGTACAGAAAGTTGCGCGGAAAAATGTCAAATGAAAAGAGATAGCTATATAGTTCACTATAGATTATTATACAGTATACTATATATATAGCTATACCTTTTCCGCTCATTCATCATCGACATTTTTCCGCGCAACTTTTCTATATTACATTTTCGCTCCAAACCACTCATGTGATGTACGAAGGCACTTCTATTCAATCTAGCAAGGCACAGTCTGACAGCAACGGGAATCTCCATAAAAAAAA